AGCCTCGTTAGGGCCCGGCACCGTGGGCATCCATGGGGACTCGCAGCTCTACTTCCTCACCTCAGGTGAGTGATCGGCACCCTTCACCAAAGTCTCTGCCCCACTACAGAGGTGGCAGACCTGGGGGGTTGGGGTCTCCCATCCATGCTGTCCCCTCCATACTGCACACTCTACCCATCTGAGCCGCTTACCGTCTCCTGTCACGTCTCTCTGTGCCAAACCCTTCTCTCTCTCCCCTGAGACCCTTCCTGCTCCTCTCCTCTCCATCTCTCCCACATTCAGGATCTGCGCCAGTGCCTCCTAGTCTGGACCAGCAGTGCCCCTACTCCCCTCCTGCAGCTCCTCTCCATCCCTCCCTGAGCCTGCCAGCCAGGTGAGAGGAGGTAGTTCCCTGATGACACTTTCTGCCATTCCCTGCAGCTTTTATGACCATGGTGCTGATTTTTCTTCACACCTTCTGGGGGATCCTCTTCTTCCATGGCTGTGAGCACCGGCGCTGGTGGGAGATTGCAGCGGTCGTTGTCATGCACCTTGCTGTTTCAGGATCGGTGAGTAGGTGGGAGTGGAGCTCTGCATGAGGACCTATATTTGGGGCTGGCCATGGTGTGTTCTGATCCCCATGCTGAGGGGGATCAGCCTTTGGCACTAGCAAAGCAGTTGGGCTGGTGGGACTTGCAGCCTTTCACAAGCCGAATCCTGGAGCTGGTGTACCCTGTCCTGCTCCACTCATCGAGGTGGTGACACTGCCACCCGTCCTGTCCCCGTTCTCTCCCACCCACTCACCCCTCCCCTCTGCTGCCTCTCTCCTCAGACATTCTGCAACCCCCTGTATGTGGGCAGCCTGGTGCCCTCCTACCTGCTGATGGCCGCTGCCGCTGCCTGGGCTTACCTGCTCTCGGGGGGATCTGCCCAGAACCTGCGGCGCTTCCTGCTCTGTAAGTCCTGCTCCATAAAAAGGGGATGGGAGACCCTAGGGGTCCCTCTGGGGGTCCCTCTGGGTACCAGGGCTGGTGCTGGGGTGGGGAGACGGCATAGCCAGGGCTGGAGCAAGGGCACCATCCCCTTGGCTGCCAGACTGGAGGAGATGCTGGGTTTCAGGGCCATGGTCAGGTTGTTGCCTCTCCTGGGGAAAGTGGATGGGGTAAGGAGTCCTGTGAAAACTGACCCCCTCTCCTCTTCATTCTCACAGGTCTACAGAGCGGAGCCAGCCCCCAGCCGGCATCCTGAGGCCCCAGGGGATGTTCCTGTCCCCAGCTACCCCTGCCCTCCCCTCCATCCTGGCGGCAAGAGTGGCCGTCACCTTCTCTGCAATATCTTTTCTCCTGGACTGAGGGACCCTGGCCAGTCCTGATGGGGCAGGCACTGGGATCTGGCTGTGG